TTTTTTTTTTTTTTTTTTTTTTTTTGGTACCAGGGATCAAACTCTGGACCTTGCACTTGTAAGGCAGGCAGTAGAACCACTGAACTAAATCCCCAGTCCGAGTATCCATTTTTTGAGCCCAAAACTATCTCACTGAAGTTTCTGTTCAGTCCCACAAACATTGAGTGCCTACAGTACATGAGGCACTGTCCAAGAGGCTAGATTCAGTAGAAGAGACACAGACAAAATAATGGTGTTATGGCTAGCTCCATCTCTTGGAATCATCAAAGATAAGATGTACAGTTCTACACAGAAGTTCTTCAGTAACTTCACGGCCATGCTGTGAGGCCTTCTGAGTCTTCACATCAAGCTAACACTCCAGTTAACCCAGTGTAACATAGCTTTGGGTCTTTTCACTGTATGTATTGCTCTATCTTTCAATTAATTTTAATATTGAATATCCAGTTCAGTATTTGTTATACATTTAATTAAATTGATTTTAGTAGACTTATTTTAATGAAGGCAATATCCACTTGAAGAAATTCTGAAAAACACAGAAAAAATATAAACATATTTATATAAAATATAAAAAAGAAATTACCTGTAATCCTGTTACCCGCTGTTAAAATGCTGGTATATTTCCCTTTAGTGTTTTCCAAATTGTATCTTTTTACATAATTGAGATTATAATTTTGTATCCTGTTATCCACTCTTGTTGCTTATTTTACATTTGATATAAAAGAGTATATCATAAAAGTCATCTACATAGCTAAATAATATTCCAGTTAGATAGACTTCCTTAAGGTTAAGTCATAAAATAGTGGTAGAGATTCCAGAAGTAGGCTACACTGTTGCCTCTCTATTAAGTCTTCAGCCTCCTAAGCTACTCTACTTCTGAGTAATAATAGTACATTGTGGAACGAAGGTATTGGAATACTTTTCTCCTGTGGATTTTTCTAGTTTAGGTTAATCTGGCTCTATTGCCCCCCCCCCCGTCTGCTCCTTTGTGTTTCCTCATAGTCATGCTGTGCCCATTTGCTTGGAGAATAGGGGTGACAATAGTGTCTTCTTGTAACATGCACTGCAGTATCCATCCCGGTGGCTGCTTTTGAGGCTTTGTTTCTACCAGGTTCAGGCTTGAGGAGTATCTTGGAGACTGTTACTTGGGACTAAACAATGGCAGTCTTACTCTGGTCCTTGGGTTGCAGGCCTCCAGCTGAACCAGAAGGCCCTCACCACCTTCCCAGATGTGGTGGTTGTGCGGGTGTCCACACCCTCTGTGCAGTCAGACAGCGACATCACTGTCCTGAGGCACCTGGAGAAGCTGGGCTGCCGCTTGGTCAACAGCTCACAGAGCATCTTAAACTGCATCAACAAATTCTGGACATTCCAAGAGCTGGCTGGACATGGAGTTCCCATGCCAGACACCTTCTCATATGGTAAGTCCTTAAAAGGCAGTTGGGACTTATTTTGCCAACCACTTGCATGTCTGTATCTTCTCTCTCTGGAAGGAAACCTTCCAGTCTTTCTAGTTGCCCTTCAGTGAGTCTTTATCTTAGGTGAGAGAATATCTTGAGTCTGTATTGTGGCCATTCTCTCTGAAATGACTTTGCTTCTTTCTGTATGTAAGTCACTTACTAAATATGCACCTATACATACTCTGTGCCAGTCAGTGACCAGAGGAAGCACTGGGCTATAACAGAAAGGGGCTTGACCCACAGCATTTCCAGTTCATCAGAGACAGAAGACAACAAACAGGAAGCCTCAATAAAGTGTAGACAGTGTTGTGGTAAGAGTTAGCACCCCTGGGTGGTATAGGAATATATAGGAGAGCTCCCAGTGCAATGTAGAAGATATTGAGGGACACCTCCTAAAAGAGATAGCATCCAAGTGAGTGAAGTTACCCTGCTAAAGTAAGGGGTATGGGGGAGTCACTTAAGCAGAGAGCAGAACATAGAAAAACCTAGGGAAAAGCTTAAAGAAAAGGTAAGAGAAAATATGACCTATTTGTGGTATTATAAGTAGTTTGTAGAATGTTAAGAGAAATAGAGTTGAGACGTAAGATTGGGAACATAAACTGGGTGTCGTGGCACATGCCTGTAATCCCAGCACTTGGAAGGCTGAGTCAGGAGGGTCACCATGAGTTTGAGGCCAGCCTGGATACATAGTTCAAGGCCAATCTGAACCACATAGTAAGACTAAAAAAACAAAACAAAAAAAACCCCTAAAGTTGGGAAGACAAGAAGGTGCCATATATGGCATGTGAAGGAGACACAGGAGTTACTGGAGGGCTTTAGTCAGGAGATTGGCCTGATCAGAGTCACACTGCAGAAGATCTCCTTGGCCACACCATGGAGAAGGACCTGGACGGGTAAAGTAGGGACAGGATAGATAGTTATAGGCTTTTTAAATAGTCCAAGTGTGCAACAATGGTCTCAAACTTACACTGAGAAGGAAGATAAGGGAACCAATTCAGGAATTCTGAAGGGCATAGAAATAAAGGATGGGGACTGATTGGGTATAGGGACTATGGAGAGAAGTCAGAGTGACTGCTTTCTGGTTTGAGCAACCAGAGGTGAAAGCAGACGTTCACTAAGAGTAGAAGAGTGGGAGAGGAGAAGCAGACTGGTGGTTAAGGGGTGAGTGGTTTCGAGGTGGGGATGCTTTCAGTTTGAGACATGTTCTGTTTGAGATATCTATAGTATATGCAAGCAAAAAATGCTCAGTAGGTAAATTGGTAAATGGGCCTGGAGCTCCTGAAACAAGTGCAGACTAGAGAGGGGGATTTGGAAACCTGTATTATGTTAGGCAAAGTTACAGGAATGGATGATGCTACTCAGTGAGAATAAAGAATAGTGGGCTAAACCATACGCTTAAAGGGATTGAAGTGGTGCAATTTATGTTTTACTGTGAATATTTTACCACAATAAAAAATTAAATAAAGAAGAGGGAATCCTTTAGGGAATGGGTAAAGGAAGGGAGTCTATAAAGTAAACTAGGCACAAGTGGAGAGGTGAGAAGAGAGGCCCTAGAAGCCAGGGAGAAGACTATTCCGAAAAGAATGGTGTAATTAAGTGTCCCGTGACCTCTAAAGGACAAATCGTGTCAGCGCTGAGATGTGTGTCGAGTTTAGCAAAAGGGAGTTTAATGAATGCAGCGTCAGCCTTGTCATGAGGAGAAAAGCCAAATTGTCAGGCATAAGGGGCTGAGGGGAAGCAAGGAGACGGAAACAGTTTCTGTAACTCCTTCAAGCAACTTGGATGTTCAACGTTGTAGCAGAGGGATGGTGCAGGGCCAAGGAACAGAGCCTTTATTTCATGCGAAAGAATTGAGCATATTCAAAATGTTGATGAAATTAGAACTGAGGTTGAAGAGATAGCAGAAGGGGACACTTTAATGGTGCAAGATCCCTGAGGGAGTGCCAGGGAAAGTGGTCCAAAGCACAGGGGCAGTGATGGCCTTTGACTAAGAGGACCTCACTCTCACTGCATCAACAGAGAAGGACAAAAGGAAGTCCAGAAAGAAATTAAACTTCTGAGTGGGATATTAGGAAGTTGGGAGTTTTTGTCTTCCAACTATCCTCTTCGTGAAGATGCCCCTGATTACCTATATTGCCCCCACATTTTAAAAGCAAGCATGTATATTTTTCTGAACAAGGAAAATCTTATTACTATTCCACAGTATTTTGCTTTGCAGAAGTTGATAAGCTGTGATACCATCTGTGCTAGGCAGGATAGTGAATCCACAAGGATGTCCGTGACTTAAAGCTGTTCTGAAGCCTGTAGACTGTGACGTGGCAAAGGGGAGTGAAGGTTGCAGGTGATGTGAAGGTTGCTAATCAGATGACCATAAATAAGAAGATTTTCCTGAATTACCAGGTAGGTTCAAGGTAGTAAGCACCCTTAAAAGGAGAAGGAGGTATGGAAGGACAGATGGCGAGACATGAGGACTCCAACACTGCTGGCTATGAAGATGGAAGGGGTCCAGGAGCCCAGGAATGGAGTGGCTTCTGGAAGCTGGGAAAGGCAAGGAAACAGATTCTGTCTTAAGACTGCAACCTGTCGGCACTTTGATTTCAGCCTAGAGAGACCCATTTTAAACTTCTAACGGCAGAACTGTAAGACAATATCCTTGAGTTTAAACTGCCACGTTGTTAGTACAGTAATGTCTTATTTCTGCAGTGGAAAACTATTATATCAGCTAATGTGCCTACACAGCACATCTCTCCAGCGCAGTTTTGAGAGCTATGAAGTAAGCCAAAAGGACCTCTGAGCAACCTCAGTATGTGTCACAAACCCCAGCAAATATCAAACTTCACTTAAGAGATGGGAAAGCCTTTCAGACTCTCACCTGAAGCCCGGTTCTCCCTGTATCAGAAAAGTTATTCCACAGGTCGTTTTGTCCTTTCTAAGCCCCTTGGGAGAAGAAGCACGCAGAGAACATACTGGCCTATGCTGAGATTAGTAAGAAATAATGGATGGAACCTTTCAGCCAGAAAGGTGACAGCCATTAAAAACCTGCTCCAAGAACCAGAAAGACTGCTAGTTGGGTATCATTAGAGACCAAATATTGTTCCTAAAGGAATTATAGTACAGTTGTTAATGTTCATCATATTGACCCTAAGTGATCAATATAGTATAAATGGGAAGCCAAGGAAACTTAGAGACTTTAGAAACATTTCATGTTTTTGTTTGTTTGTTTTTTGAGACAGGGTCTCACTATGTAGTTAAGACTGACCTGGAACTCACTATGTAGCCCAGGCTGGTCTCGAACTCACAGCAGTCCTCCTGCCTCAGCCTTGCAAGTGCTGGGATTACAGGTGTGCGCCACCACGCCCGGATAACATTTCATATTTTTTAAATTAAAGCTTAAAGAATGTAGTGAAAGTAGTTGAGGCTTTAGAGGCATGCCTCAACTTGGATGAGACAAATCTGCAGATGTGGTTCCTTTGGGGATTGGTTTTCTATTGCTGCGTACCAAATTACGAAAATCTTAGCAGCTAACAAACACCAATGGATTATCTCCGAGTTTCTGTGGGCCAGAAGTCCAGCCGCAGCATAGAGTCTCCCCCAGCTGAAATCAAGATGTTGGCTGGGGCTGTATCTCCGTTGAGGTTTGGCTTTTTTTTTTTTTTTTTCCTTCTTCTCAAGATGACTTAGTGTTGGCATTCAGTTCCTCACAGTTGTAGATCCAAGGTTGTCTCCACTTCTTTATTGGCTGTCAACTTTGGGCCAATTTAAGTTCCTCCAAGCTGCCCACACTTCCGTGCCACAGGGCCCTCTCTGTAGCATGACAGTTCATTTCCACGAGGACAGCAGAAGAGTCTCTGGTGCTTTACCTTCTCTTACCGGCTCACCTTATTAGGTCAGGCCCACCAAGGATCATCTTCCATCTGACAACTTGCAGTCAGTCAGTCTATTAATGTAATTACAGGAATGATATCCCATCATGTTCATTGGTTCCTCCCATATTCAAGATGGATGCTACAAGGAGTAGTCCCCAGAGCATCTTTGGGGCCATCCCAGAATTCTGTCACAGCCATTGTAAAGGGAAAGCTACCTATCGTGTGACTATTGTGAGGACTCCTTGAACTGTAGCACATGCACCCTTCACCATGTAGAAAGTTCTTGGTAGATGTGGTGTCCTTACCTCTCTGCTCCCACTTTCTACATTATAGGTGTATAACAACTGCCTGTTGGGTGAAATGGATTGGAATTGTTTTAACCAGGGAGATGCGAGGTCTTCTGGGATTTCCAGAGGCGCCAGGCCCGGGCAGACTACTGCCTGTCATCAGTCTTTACCTTCACTGACTCCTGACTTTTCTTGGCAGGTGGACATGACGACTTCTCAAAAATGATTGACGAGGCTGAGCCCCTGGGCTACCCAGTCGTGGTGAAGAGCACACGAGGCAACCAGGGTCAGTGCTGCTGCACAAGACACCAAGCCTGTGTTGGTTCATTAACTCCGTGGCCAGTGCGCCCTCTGTCCTGTTTTTGAGTAATATCTCTGAAACATGAGATCTATTCTTATTACACCCTTGCTGGACAATGCTCCCAAGCTCCTGTGCTGCCTGTTTGACAAAGTCCGTGCTCCCAGTCACAACCCTAAGGCTCTGTGCAGTCAGACACAACCTTTCTCTGCTGCCTTCTTTGGCCACATGAACCTCCACACCCACTTTCAGACTGCTCTCCTTTGCTGTGTAGACCATGCATCGTCCTCTCTTTAAACATCGGCTCCCTTGCCTTGGCTGGGTGTGCCATCTTCCTTTGTCTACCTGGTGAACGTCTCATCCTTTAAGCCAGCTCCTCAAGTCACATTTTTCCACTTAAACCCCTAGTCTCCCACTCTCTCCCAGACAAAAGTAATTGCTCTTCCGTTTTTGTTTCTGTAGCACTTTGCACATGCTTCTAACAGTGCTGTGCTCTGTAGCAATTTGAAGTGCCCGTGCCCTGTATAGGCTATGAGCTGCTCAGCAGTGGGGACCAGGTCGGAGCACTTTTCTCTGTAAGGCCTGCTACAGCGGGGCGCCTGCTGGGGACTTCATAGAGACACCAGCAGAAAAAGCAGTGTGTGAGTGGATCCCTCATTGTGAAACCCAGATGGGAGAACATACTTACGCCTAGTGCCTCTGGAGTGAGGGAGATAGATTGCCCTAAACAGACGTATGATAACAGTCACTGCTGAGTAGGGACTGTGCCATAGCAATGGACTGGCCTAAGGGAAGGAGGGACCGACTCTGCCCCAAACACTTCATTGGAAGAAAGGGAGGCTTAAGTTACCGTGTAGAATTGGAACTGGAGGAGATGAGCATACAGCATACAGAACAGGTGGAGCAGATAACCTGTGGGAAGAGAGGGGCCTGCTGAGGAGCAAAGCAGGCGAGCCTGGGTGGCAGAGTAGGGCTCTTAATACGAGTTGTTTGTGTGGTGCTGTGCTAGCATCCAGTCTCTCTACTTGTTAAAAATTGTAAAGTGGAAGTAACATAACATGCAGCTAAGGCCTACTGAGTACCTACAGAGTACTGCCTAGTATTTAGTCTAGACTCTGAGGATACAGATAAGAACAAAACAAAAATTTTTGCCCTGAAGGAGCTTATATTGTAGAAAAATGTGGCTGATGAAAAATAAAAATTAAATGTAATACATAATATTTTTTAAAGTTTTCAAAATTGAGATATAATTCACTTAAAAGTTACTGTCATAAAATATAAAATTCAGTAGATTTTGGCATATTCGGTATGTTTTACAGCCATTACCAGGTTAATTTCAGAACATTTCTATCATCCCCAAAAGAAAGCTTGTACCTATTAGAAGTTAGTCCTAACTCCTTCATACCTGGGCCTTGGCAGCCACTGGTCCACTTGGGGTCTTTATGAATTTGCCTGTTTTGGACATTTTATGTAAATGGATTCATATAATATATGAACTTTTGTGTCTGGCTTTGCAGGTTTTCAGGGTTTGTCTATGTTGTATCATGTAACACTGTTCTATCCCTTTTTTAAGCGTCAGTGATATTCTGTTGTATACATACACTACGTTTTGTTTCTCTTTTCACCGTTTGGTAGACATGTGGGTTGTTTTCACTTTGTGACTATTATGATTAGTGTTGTTATAAATATTTGTGTACAAGTTTTTGTCTGACCACGCATTTTCATTTCTCTTGGGTACATATCTGGAATAGGATCTCTGGGGGCCTGTGTTTAACTTTTAGAGAACTGTTCATTGTTTTCTATAGTGGTTTTGCTATTTACACTTTTTTTTATGTGTATATATGCGTATGTATGTATATAGCCATCCTAGTGGTTGTGAGCTGGTATTTTTTTTTTTTGTAGTACTTGGGATTAAACCAGTTTAATAGACAGTAGATGCTAGGCAAATATTCTACCACTGATGCATCCCTAGCTCTTTTCTTATTTTAGCTGTGCTCTGTAGCAATTTGAAGTGCCCGTGCCCTGTATAGGCTATGAGCTGCTCAGCAGTGGGGACCAGGTCGGAGCACTTTTCTCTGTAAGGCCTGCTACAGCGGGGCGCCTGCTGGGGACTTCATAGAGACACCAGCAGAAAAAGCAGTGTGTGAGTGGATCCCTCATTGTGAAACCCAGATGGGAGAACATACTTACGCCTAGTGCCTCTGGAGTGAGGGAGATAGATTGCCCTAAACAGACGTATGATAACAGTCACTGCTGAGTAGGGACTGTGCCATAGCAATGGACTGGCCTAAGGGAAGGAGGGACCGACTCTGCCCCAAACACTTCATTGGAAGAAAGGGAGGCTTAAGTTACCGTGTAGAATTGGAACTGGAGGAGATGAGCATACAGCATACAGAACAGGTGGAGCAGATAACCTGTGGGAAGAGAGGGGCCTGCTGAGGAGCAAAGCAGGCGAGCCTGGGTGGCAGAGTAGGGCTCTTAATACGAGTTGTTTGTGTGGTGCTGTGCTAGCATCCAGTCTCTCTACTTGTTAAAAATTGTAAAGTGGAAGTAACATAACATGCAGCTAAGGCCTACTGAGTACCTACAGAGTACTGCCTAGTATTTAGTCTAGACTCTGAGGATACAGATAAGAACAAAACAAAAATTTTTGCCCTGAAGGAGCTTATATTGTAGAAAAATGTGGCTGATGAAAAATAAAAATTAAATGTAATACATAATATTTTTTAAAGTTTTCAAAATTGAGATATAATTCACTTAAAAGTTACTGTCATAAAATATAAAATTCAGTAGATTTTGGCATATTCGGTATGTTTTACAGCCATTACCAGGTTAATTTCAGAACATTTCTATCATCCCCAAAAGAAAGCTTGTACCTATTAGAAGTTAGTCCTAACTCCTTCACACCTGGGCCTTGGCAGCCACTGGTCCACTTGGGGTCTTTATGAATTTGCCTGTTTTGGACATTTTATGTAAATGGATTCATATAATATATGAACTTTTGTGTCTGGCTTTGCAGGTTTTCAGGGTTTGTCTATGTTGTATCATGTAACACTGTTCTATCCCTTTTTTAAGCGTCAGTGATATTCTGTTGTATACATACACTACGTTTTGTTTCTCTTTTCACCGTTTGGTAGACATGTGGGTTGTTTTCACTTTGTGACTATTATGATTAGTGTTGTTATAAATATTTGTGTACAAGTTTTTGTCTGACCACGCATTTTCATTTCTCTTGGGTACATATCTGGAATAGGATCTCTGGGGGCCTGTGTTTAACTTTTAGAGAACTGTTCATTGTTTTCTATAGTGGTTTTGCTATTTACACTTTTTTTTATGTGTATATATGCGTATGTATGTATATAGCCATCCTAGTGGTTGTGAGCTGGTATTTTTTTTTTTTGTAGTACTTGGGATTAAACCAGTTTAATAGACAGTAGATGCTAGGCAAATATTCTACCACTGATGCATCCCTAGCTCTTTTCTTATTTTTATTTTGAGACAGGATCTTGGTGAAGTGCATAGGTTGGCTTCAAACCTGGAATTCTCCTGCCTCAGCCTTTCAAGTAGCTAGAATTACAGGCAAGCACCACTGATGGCTTTGTTGTTGTTTTTATTGGCATTTCTTTTTTTTTTTTTGCATTTATTTAATAATAAGTGATGTCAAGCATCTTTTTTATAGACTTATGATAGGCTCTTTTTTTTTTGGTACCCGGGATCAACCTCGAGTCCTTGCACTTGCAAGGCAGGTGGCGGAACCACTGAGCTAAATCCCCAGCCCACTTATGGGCTCTTTTTATGTCTTTGGAGGAATGTTCATTTAAATCATTTGCCCATTTTAAAACTAGGTATTTTTTTATTATTAGTTTTAAATGTGTTTTTAATCTCACTGTGTGGATGCTAAGCTTCTATTAGATCTTCTGTTTTGAAGATTTTTCCCCCCATTCTGTAGATTGTCTTTTCATTTCTTGATAGTGTCTTTCATCCACAAAGATGTTTTATTTTGGTGAAGTCTGCTTATCTATTTTTTTCATTTGATTCTGTTTTGTTTGTGTTTTGTATTATGTGGTGCTGGGGATTGAACCCAGGGCCTCTGCATCAACCTATATCCCTACTTCATTTTATTTTTTAATTTGAGATAGAGTCTCACTAAGTTACTAAATTACCCAAGCTTGGCTTGAACTTGTGATACTCCTGCTTTAGCCTCTGAAAGTACTGGGACTACAGATAATGCGCCACCACGCCCAACTCTGTGATTTTGATATCATTTTTGTGCTTGCTTAATCCAAGATTCCATAGGCTTACACTTGTATTTCCATCTGGACTTTGTATTTTGAGTTAATTTTCACATGTGTTGTGAGCTCAGGGTCTAACTTCATTCTTTTGGAATGGACCAGGTAATACTGCAGATCTTTTCCAACTCTGCCTGCATATCCTGTTTCCCGAGTATCATATGTCAAGAGAATGAATGCTTATGAAACCCTTGTCAAAAACCATACTTTGAATTGCCAGGGATGTAGCTCTGTGGTAGAGCACTTTCCTAGTATGTGTGAGGCCATGGGTTCAATCCCCAGGACTATAAAAAACCAATTGGTGTGATGGTTTATTTCTGAGCTTTCCAAAATTCTTTCGTTCGTTATTTCTTTCTTTCTTTCTTTCTTTCTCTTTCTTTTCCTTTTTCTCTCTCTCTTTCTTTCTTTCTTTCTTTCTTTCTTTCTTTCTTTCTTTCTTTCTCTCTATCAGGGCTTTCAATTCTGTTGAAATATATATATATCTGTCTTTATGCCAAGCCACTCCTCTTGATTACTAAATATTTAGTAAATTTTAAAATGGGGAAGTGTGAGTCTTCCAGTTTTGTCTTTATTTTGCAATATTGTTTTGACATTTGGAGTCCTTTGCATTTCCATTCAGATTTTAGGATTAGCTTATCAGTTTCTGCCAAAATATTGGAATTTTGATGCTTATTGCATTGAGTCTATAGATCTTTTTTTTCCTCTCTCTCTTTTGAGACAGGGTCTCACTGTGTATGTGTAGTTCAGGTTGGTCTTGAACTCTGTATGTAGCCCAGGCTGGGCTCAAACTCACAGCAATCCTCTTGCCCCATCTCCCAAGTGCTGGGATTACAGCCTGGCTAGATGAATTTGAAGAGTAACAACTCATGAATGTGGGATGTTTTCCATTCATTTAGCTCTTTAATTTCTTTCAATGATGTTTTATAGTTTTCAGTGTGTAAATCCTATATTTCTTTACTTAAATTTATTCCTAAATACTTTAATCTTTTTTATGCTGTTGTAAATGAAATTGTGTTCTTAATTTTATTTTCAGGTTATTCTTTGCTAGTGTAACGCATAGTATCTTAGCAGGGAAAATGACTAGAGAGTAAATAGAATTTTAACGGTTAAGTTAGACTCTTATATAGCTGTCCTTTGGTATCTATAGAGGATAGGTTTTAGGATCCCCCTAGGATACTAAAGTCTATAGATGTTTAAATCTCTCATGGAAAGTAGCATAGTATTTGCAAATAACTAACACAAATTTCCTGTATACTTTAAATTATCTCAGGGGCTGGGGATTTAGTTCACTGGTTCTGCTGCCTGCCTCATAAGTGCAAGGTCCTGAGTTCAATCCCTGGTACCAAAGGCGGAGGGGAAACCCTTCAATAAATTATCTCAATTTACTTATAAAATGTAAATGTTTTGCAAATAATTATTAAACTGTATTGTTTGGGGAATAATTGTAAGGCTTGTGATTGGTTGACTACTTGGATGGGTAACCCTCAGATATAGAGAACTAAAAGTATAAGGATATAAATCTAAAGAAGACAGACAGTGAAGGCTATTCCCAATGAGAAAGTTACTAATCTTAGAAACAGTCCTTTTTTCTTAAGGAATAACTATCCTTGTCATAATAACTTCATAGAGCTAGTTTGAAATATAAATTAAATAGTAAAAGAAAAAGTGCTTAGTATGTGATAAATGATTAATCTTAGTGTCCATCTTTTTTTCTTCCTTCACTTAAAACTGTAGTTTCTTTATTAATTGCAGGCTGAGCAGACTGGGCCCCATATTAGAACCTCTGTGCAAGAAAGCAATCCATAGCCCCCATCTACGCTGAAAGTCCTAAGGTCCAGAGAACTCCTGTGCCCCTAGCTGAATCTCAGCCATCTCTTGCCAGATGCCAGATCTCCTGGTGCCAAACATCCAGCTGCTTATACCTCCACTCATTGATTGAGAGTTGGAACAAGTCAGACCCTGTGCTGCGCCCACTTGCCAAGGCCTCTCGGGTTTCCTCTTGTGCCCACTCACTGGAGCCTCTCCTGTTCTTCCTGTGCCCGCTTGTGGGACACTCTCCAGCAGACACCGACTGCGCACTTGACTACACACCCTCCTATCACTCGTCCTGTGACATCCTCATATCACTTGCCCCAACTCCTCCAGTTCTCTTGGGCATCTGGGGTCTAGTATTTCAGGAATGATTAAAAACTGGTTATGACATGTATTAGATTTAACTTTTCAGTCTTATATGCCAGTAGGGATTAATGCCTATTGCTGTTTTATTAAGATTTCAGAAGACGTCTACTCCTTTTGTGAAAGTGACATAAAACTTGGAAAAAAACCATCTCTTTGTTGCATTTTTGCAGGAAAGAATACTCAGACTGGGCATGCTTGTGTCAGATTCACAGAGCAAACCTATTAGGAATACCCCTACTCAGAACCATTAACAAATATGCAGATGAAAAACAGATGCTGAATAATTTCAAAAGCAAACAAAATAAAGAATTTAGAATCAAGAAGGAATGCCTTTCTGAGAGCAAATAGATATATAGGCTATTCCCTTCTGAGGATGGCCAAATAATATAAATTTCTGCTTCTTAAAAGGATATCTGTCGGTGGCTCCCTCCTTTGATTGCCCACAGCATTTTGCATGGTCCCCTTCTAATGCACATTATGCTGGGTAGTAGTTCTCCTTTTTGTGGATCTCTCTTTATCCACACTTGGGATTCCTTTAAAGTATGTTCAATTAATTATGTTCTGTAAACACTGATGGACATCTGCCCTGTGCACTGAGCCCATTATGAGGTCTGGGGGATTGAAAAAAAAAAAAAGAAAGTTAGCCATGGACCCTGCCTAATCAGTGTCCTCGGGGTGAGGAGATGCTAATTAGCTGTTTTTGAAACTGAACTGATTAGCTTCTTAGGATTTTATTTTGGCTCCTTCTCTGTGTTTATGGAATACATTATTATTTCATTTCCAAAAAAGAATGGTGGTGAGGGAAGAGAGGGAACAGTATTAAGACTTGAGGAAAATCAAGAAAAAATAAGGTTCAGTGGGCTTATTTTGATAAAAAGCAAGAGTCTCATCAGAGAAATGAAAGGGGCCAGAGCGAGACAGGTACAGAGAGAGTTCATGCCTGTTTGGGACAGGAAGGCAAGTGACAAGGACAGGGGCCTGAGACTTCTCTAACCATTTTTCTTGTTCTTTGTCTTTCTTCTTAAAGGAAAAGCTGTTTTTCTGGCAAGAGACAAACATCATCTCTCAGACATCTGCCATCTGATCCGCCACGACGTGCCCTACCTGTTCCAGAAATACGTGAAGGAGTCCCACGGAAAAGATATCCGGGTTGTGGTGGTTGGGGGTCAGGTGATAGGCTCTATGCTTCGCTGCTCCACAGATGGACGGATGCAGAGTAACTGCTCTCTTGGTAAGAAGGAAAGGCACAGACTGAGCCTCTTAGGCAGGGAAGACCACGAGGGTATTTCATTATTTCTATTTGGACCTGCTCAGTACATGTGTATTGGTCCCTGCCATCTTGTCAGACCCTTGGCCAGGCACCAGGATCTCACCGAAAAGAATAAAAATGAGCCCTGGCCTAGGGCACATGCAGGCTAGGAGGATATCGTCGAAGTGCCGCGACGGAGGTCAGGCCAGGGTTGTCAGGACACTGCGGTTTGCATCCTATCCTATAGATACTGAGACTTAGCATCAGGATTAAACAAGGGAGTGACGTGAGGACCCATATTTGAGGAAAACTCTCATTATGGTAAAGAACAGATGGGAGGAATAAGACAGGAGGCAGGAAAATGAATTTGGAAGATGGTGCAACAGCTCAGGCTGGGAACATTAACCTCAAGCAATAGCTGAAGGAATATCATATTTTGTTTTTACATTTTAATTGGAAAACTTGTTCCTCTTATGTATGATGCCATTAAAAAGCTGCAGTTTATATTTTGGTTGAATGCATAACCCTTTAACTTACCCATGTAGCTTGCTTTCTGTCACAGTGAGTATAAATACTGCAGGAGGGGTATATTCCTGGCCCCATCACACAAAGCTGTTGTCAACCACACTGAGCCAATTTGTATGCTTGTGATTAAAAAAAACCTGTGGTCACCATTTCCTAACTTATCAGATGTGCATACCAAGTCCAGGGACTAATAAAGAGGCTTAGACACTAATTGGGTCCTTCTTTTACTAACATTTATTAAGCAGCCCACAGCAGACTCTGGCAAATGTTGAAAGGATAGAGATTATGAGGCAGTCCTTGCCCTCGACCAACATGTGGTCCAGATGTGCAAACAGATAATTGTAAAAGACTGTGGCAAAGTGGTAGAATAGTCAGGTGCTGAGATTCAGTCGGACACAGTACTCAGTACGGTAGAAGGTATCTTGTTCCATTTTCACAATAGTCACATGTAGAACTGCAGCAGTGAATGTTATGAATTATCATTTTGTCTTTTAAATTACCCTAAAAAATTCATTCTTTAACTAGTAATCAGATGGTTTTATCATATAGCCATGTTGCTTTTCTTGGTTGTTTTAAGATTGTTTGATAACCTTTTTCCTATACAATGTCATAGGTGGAGAAGGGATGGTGTTGAGGTACAGACATTAGTTATGGGACCTAACAATACAAATCTTAAGTCTTTCCAGGTAGAATAGATGGAGACAATTAAATCTGAGGTCCTAGCTTTTTAACAAGTATAGGCAATCAGATTCTTTTTGTTCTTGGTACAGGATTTTGTCTCACAATCCTCTGTGTTTTTCTTTTCTTAAAAAATGAACGTTAATTTTGTTTTTTTCTAATCATAAAAGGAATACATTCTCAATTTAGAAAATACAGTACAAATTTTTTAAAAATTATTATCCCCATCCTTTAGAAACAGCCACTGGTAACTTTGTGGAATCATTCTTTCCAGTCTTTTCCTTTTTTTGTTTTGTTTTTTTTTTGGTACTGGGGATTGAACTCGGGTCCTTGCACTTGTGAAGCAGCCACTGGAACCACTGAGCTAAACCCCCAGCCCTTTGCAGTCTTTTTCTGACAAATATTCTTTTGTACAATCTGATCATACTGTGCCTTGTGTTTTCCCACGGAATTACAAACACTCTATAATCAGTATTATTAATGATTGCAAAGTAAGCTATTCTCTTGTAAGATATTTAGATTATAATTTTTTATCTCTTCATTTGACAAATATTTATTGAAAGCCCACTATATATCTGGGACCGTGCTTTTTCAGTATTTTAAATAATATTACCATCAACGTCTTTGTGCATAAAGTTTTTTGCATATATAAAATTATTTCTTTACTGATGGGATGGTTGGTTTCTCAGACTCTAGATAAGAAATGACCACCTTGTTTTCCCAAAGGGTGTCCTGATTTCCATCCAGACTTTCTATGAAAAATGACAGTGCCTGTCTCACTGCCCCTTTCAGCAATCCTTATCTCTTTTTCAACACGTCACTTGGGTCCTCAGCGAGTATGGTTTGCCACCTTGACTCACTGTGCTTTCCCCACAGGTGGTGTGGGTGTCATGTGCCCACTGACAGAACAAGGCAAGCAGCTGGCGATTCAGGTATCCAACATCCTGGGCATGGACTTCTGCGGCATTGATCTTCTCATCATGGACGATGGCTCCTTTGTGGTGTGTGAGGCAAATGCCAATGTCGGCTTCCTAGCCTTCGACCAGGCATGCAACTTAGATGTGGGTGGGATCATCGCAGACTATTCCATGTCCTTGCTGCCAAATAGGCAGACTGGGAAGATGGCTGTCCTCCCAGGACTGTCAAGCCCCAGGGAGAAGAAGGAGCCAGATGGTTGTGCTTCCGCTCAGGGAGTCACAGAGAGCGTCTACACCATCAACAATGGGTCTACCTCTAGCGAGAGTGAGCCTGAACTGGGAGAGGTCCGGGATTCCTCGGCCAATACAATGGGGGGCCCAGCCCCTGTGCTGCCCGAGCCTGGCTACAACATTAACAACAGGATTGCTTCAGAATTAAAACTTAAATGAATTCCTGCTTTTTGGCAGCATTTAAACCAAATCCTACTGCTTCCCTGGTAGTTTCATGTGAATAAAATCTGGACTAATGTGATTTCATTTGCACAGGAACTAGAAATCCCATCTGGGCACTCAGCATTCTTTCTAACGATGATTTGAGCAAATGGCCTAGCTTTGTGGTTTTTACAAAGGCCAATATGAAAACACTCACCACCGCCACCACCATCTCAGCTGATCAGATTGAGACTAATGCCTGCTGTGAGTACGTGGATAGAATGGTAGGCTTTAAGGCACTGACTCTCTGCTGCTGTTTCTGGCTGTTAGCAGTTGAGAACACGAATTTGGACCTGCTCCTGGAAACACTGCTCGAGAGCAACCACGAGATAGAAGCGTGTGCAGGTGGAATGTGACTGCAGTCATATGTTCTTCACTCAGCATGTGTGTGATGCTTGGAAAATACATAGCTGAAATACTATCAGAGGATCAGGCTCTGCTCCCCGTCAGTCACATCCTGACCACATTTCTTCAACACTCAGGATATGGTGTTTTAGGACGTTTCTTCATGAGCATTCGCAATGAAGCACTTTGTAGAAAGTGGGATTGAGTGTTCTTTGACCTTACCGGTTAGCATATGTCCTGCTTTGTAACTGGGACTTTCTACACATTGATTTGCCACTCTGAATTCACCCTGCTTCAACTAATGCCAGCTCCAGCAGCTTCTTGCACCTTTGCTGCCTTTGGCCTCAGCTGGAAATGAGCTTCAGTGGGCTGGTGGCCATACACTGTTTCTTAAGCGTGCACTAGAATTTAACACCATGGACTTGCTTTTCAACAGACTGTTTGCTTGTCATCCAGAAGCCAATGGGTTTTTACCACAGAAAGTTACCAGAAGATAATCATTCTTCTCCTTCCTCTACTGAAACTTTATGTGTTGTGTAGAAGGTTTTCTGTATGAGTTGATATTGCGGGCCTTTTGGGTAGGGCCAGCCATTGGAAACACATTCTGATCCCCGGACAGTCTACTCTTATCCCGGCTCCAGAAACCTGTCCTTACCCCCTTTTCAGAACTGAGGAGACTCAGGTATCAGCAATTACTCCTTGCACATTGTGGGAGGGAAGCTCATGTAGATAAGACACCAAGTGCTTTTCATTTTAACTCTTCAAGCAGTAGATCAGATCTCTCCCTTGGGAGAAATCATAGTGAAGGAGTTTCCATTTCTGTTTATATGAAGTATAACTGAAAATGAGTAATGACCAAATACACTAGGACATGTGCACTCAAGAATTACCATTACTGGAGTTCTTTCCTTGGGAAACCATACTCTTGAGCTATGATGTTGCATGTGCCAAGAACACTATAATTCCTCTTTGGGATTATCTTTGAAGCCATGAGAGGAAAGAAGTCTCACAACTTTATAATCAGACCTTCTTTTGTTGTTTTAAACTCCCTCCTGCTATACCACCTGCAAAGGTAGTGCAAAGCTTCTCACCCATTTCATTTATCAGACTTATTTTCTAATACCTTTGGGCTGTAAAAAAAAAAATCCTCGAAAAATAGATCTGCCCTGACAGGAAAAAGATTGACCAATCTGAGGAAGCTTACAAGTTGACAGTTTCCAGAGTTCTAGAAATGTTCTGCATAAGGTGAGCTTCATGAAATAAATATATATCTTTCCAAGGTAACTACTTTGAAGGCAACACCACCCATTTGAGTGCATACTTCCTCTGCTGTAAATGTAAAATGAGTGCAAAGTTAAACTATTACATTTTTCACAGATTTAGGTAGAAATTGGCTCTTAAAATATTGTAGTTAAAACCAGATCTCACCAAGGATCAGTTGTACAATTGAAAAGTGGTTCCATGTGGCGGAAATGTCACGCAACACTGTTGTAGTTTAAATGCAGTCCATAGGGTGCATGCCATTGAACTGTAACCCAAGTAGTATGTCTTGTACAGTTGAAAATTGATAATACTTCACCCTTAACTAGGTTAAGACGTACCTTACCTTTACCGCTCTGAGTGGCTTTAGAAGAAAGTTTTCGGTTCTTGCTGGAACTAATCAGATTTTTTCTGTGTAAACATCTGAAACAAGTGTTGACCTCCCAGAAGCTGCATTCATTTCATGTTCACTGTTTGGTGAAAGACTTGTCTCCACAATTTGTCTAAAAGCATACTAGCCAGGTCCCATTCTGAGCAGAGCAGCTAGCATGTCTCCAGAGTCCTTTGCCAAAGGAGACCTGTTTTCCAGCTGGTAGTGACATCTGTTGTCATTGGCGTCATTGCCTGGAACTAATCCTGTCCAGAAGTAGACAAGGATGGGTCACAGCTGGATCCTTCCCAGATTTGTCCATACCATAGCTGGCTGTGTGCTCTGTGAGCCTCAGCCAGGTGGCCCAGGCACACATGTCACAGCTGCCCATGCCTGCAAGAAAAAACAAAGTACTGAGCCAAAGCCTGGCTCTGACTCTTCCCTCAGGCAGTGACCATCCTTGTATGATCTTGTGAGCTCTGTGTATACATTTTCCCACTCTTCAGACAGGGAAAGCCTATTGTATTTACCTCGACACTGAGGATGAGTCAATAGGCAAGGCTGTACATTATGTGGAAGGTGGTAATAGCACCTCCAACACCTGGTTTTATCACAATTTATCATCTCAACACCTCTGAAGAAGTTAAAGAAGGATACCGTGAATTCCTGGCATTAACAAACCAAACAGTGGAGGCCCTGAGAAAGGAATGCGGCTTCTCGGAGTCCTTCCTTCCAGCTAAGGAAACTTACGATCTGAAAGGAATAAGGCTTTGGGGATATTCCAAGAGCCTTCTGGATGTGTCGATTATAACCTGAAACCCTTGACTCTTGTGTACCAACTTACAAAGTCTTCCTTATGTAACATAGATTCAATGTCTGTATATGGTCTTTATCTAGTATTAGCATCTTGAAACTGGTCAAAACTTGAATGGCAATCAATAGCTCAGTCACTCAGAATATATATGATTCTGCACTTGGGGAAAATGTCTTCCTGCTATTTGTCTGATTGGGTATGGAGTGAACAGAGTATGGATTGGGGCCTTAGATCTTTAGGATCTGAAAAACAACATAAGCGGATCATAAGCCATTACTGTCCCAGTAGTAGACTCGGTGCTCCCAGCTAAGGGAGTCCGTGATGATTGGAATACAATGAGGAGGAAAGAGAAGAGGGAAGGTCTGGCATAGTTTTGTGGGAGAAAAAGTTGAGATGACTTGGAATTCTAGTGGGAAGGAAAAAATGGCTCTCTTGTGGGTTATTTTAGTGAAAGAATCACAAATATACTGATTAAAAGTAGATGTCTGAAGCCAGCTGCCCTGTATAAAGATACTGAGGTGCATGGACTTGTATCCAACCTGGAGAATTGGGGGAGACGTGCCTCATCCCTTCTTTAAGTCTCAAGGAATTCTAGTTTTGAGAACACTAAATCTGAAGAAGATGGAAGCAGCTAATGGGTACATGGTGTTCCAGGACCACTCAAGTAACAGCTGACCCTCCCAGAATTGAATGGATCAGGATACCATGGGTGGCAAAGCCAGAGCCACAACTTATTGAGGGGAGAGAAGGGAGTCAAGCCTGAACATGAATCCAACATCAAATAAGCCACTTCAGCTTACTACTTCCCCTTGCCCTGGAGGAGAGGCCTCTGTTTGCAGTTGATCTGTGTGGATGTTTTGGGAAGGACCCTGAAAACAGCTACTTCTCATTGTCCCTGAAGTTAATGTTCTTAGGTCTTGGGCTATAGCCTAATAGACCTGATGCTGCTTTTGACTTTGCCACTGAGATTCAAGATCAGTACAGATGATCAGTTTAAAATGTTTTTATCTGGAGACCATGGTTCACAGGATGTTTTAATCTTCCCTAAAACTAGATCACGCCCCTTTCCAAATCTATAGCTCTGCTCTGTAGCCCTCTCTCCTAAAATGCACACAGCTGAATGTGAACTTTCTTCCTTCATGCCTTCTGATGCCCGTCTTCAGGTACAGTTCCTGCCAACATGCAGCATTATCCCAAGGCCTGGGCTGGTATCTTAACCCTATTTTGTGACCCTGTTCTGTGAAGTTCATCTTCTCTGGGACTTCAAAGCAACATTAGGAAAATCACCCCGAAGAGCCAGATTGGAGGCCACAGGAATAGCAGCCCTTGGAAAGCAGTCTAGTCCCCATTTTATAAAAAGGGTATCTGGCTCCAGATACCACAGTCACTTAGCCAGGGAGTAGCAAGGCTGAATCCAGGCAAGGTGACTTTGATCCAGGTTAGTACACAGCCAGAGGTGGGTCTGTTCCTTACACATCTAGCACTTCCTGCTATCCTGAGCCCACCCTCTGCTGTTTCCCCTTCTGCTGAGCCTCTTCTGGATCAATGTGGTGGTGATAGGCAAGCTGTCAGTACTTCAACACTTACATCTAGGCGGGCACCCCAAAGGCACGTATGAGACTTCCAGGGTGCAAGCTGGTTCTAGTCCTGCATCCTCTTCAAGATTAGCCAGGACCGTTCAGCCCACCCCATACTAGGTGATAGCTGACTGAGGGCTTCCTCGGCCCCAATTTGGCTGATGTCCTCTCACTGCCGCTGGGCTCAAAAGCTGAGGATTTGGTGTTCTGAACTGTCAAGCACACCTACAGGGGAATTTGCTACACACACTCCACTTGCAAACAGCAACAAGGTCAGAAGTTCCCTCCCACTTTCTTTGCCACAGTGTGTCCCACTAGGCACAGATTCTTCTCTGTTACAGCCCAAATGTCAACTAAGAACCCTCACCCTTCAAACCCAACTGGGTCTAATAACTGGTGCTCCCATTCTGATCCTTTGGGATTTCTGTGATTTCTAAGGGATTTTTTTTTTTTTTTGAAGCTGCTGCTGATTCTAGACTTCTGCTACCTCATCGTAAGCAATAGTGCAGTCTCATCTCTGCACTGCATCAATGAAGACACGAAGCTCAGTGTCGTCCCCATTTCCACCCTTAGCAAAACTCAGATGAATGTGCGTGCGCGCACACATCTGGATTTGAGAAGGAAGGGCAGACACTGCAGCAGTGCACACTTGGCAACACGTTCAGAATCATCTTTTCGTTTACTACACAGTAGTCTCCACTCACTTGCCATCCCAGGTGTTCCCCGTCTCTCTTGGAACATGCCAGATCCACTTATGTTCTTATGTATAATCATTTCTACTTTTTTACTTTTTTTTTTTATACTGGGGATCGAACTCGGGACCTTGTGCTTGCAAGGCAGGTGCAGTGCCACTGAGCTACATCGCTATGTTTTTTCTTTGATTCCTAACACTCTTACCTTCATGATTTCACCCTTTAGTATTTACAGAAGGAATTTCCCAAACAAAGCCAAGTCCCTCCTCAAGAGGAACTCTCATGCCATCTCTGAAGATGATACATTTCATTCTCACTAGGATAACCCAGCACCCTAGCAGCCATGCTCACCCCTAGCGTGCCAGGGGCGTACCCCTAGGCTATGGGGACTACTGTGAATGGAAGCAGTTTGAGTCAAGTGGGCTTCAAAACTTGACTCAGATAAGCTAGAGCTTGTGTGACCTTAGGTACAGTCACCTCAACTTGTTCAGTCTTGGTTTTGACACTTCTGATGCAATCAATAAACACAGTCTTGAAAATAAACTACTTGAATACATACTTTCTTCAGATTCCTTTCCTTTGGCTGCCCCCACTGTGAGCAATCACAAGCCTTCCTGTGCTTGTGGCTCAGTGCCAAGGGATAAAAGCTGACAGACAGCAGCTTTGCAGCTGGGAATAGGGATGCTGGGGGTAGGGCTGGCAGCTGCTCAAGCAGGCTGTCGTTTGAGCTTAATGATAGGAAGGTCCCATCCATCCTTGAGATTTCTTGATGTTATATGCAAATACAAGAGGTGTATCTGGCTTAGAAACATTCTGAAGGAAAGGCTGCCTCAGACAACGGGAGGCTGTAAAGCTGAGGTGCAGCCTGACCTTGAGTGATTTAGCCTGTTTTTTCTGGCTTTTCCTGTATTAGGTTTACTGGCCTTGCATCAGATGGAAGGAGGAGGTGCCAGGGACTTGAATCAAAACTATCAAGCAGAGGTTGAGGGGAATGCAGGAGGCCCAGGCTGTGCAGATAACTGTTAGACAGCACCATCTGCACTCGGCAGGGATGACAGCCGAGATAGATGGGAGCAGCCAATAAAGTAGCTAAACTTCTGCCTGTCCTGAGTGGGACTCTTAGAGTCTCCTATTTAGAAGGATACTGATTTCCTATAAGGGGAGAGCGGAGGGCCCTTAATCACTCTGTGGAGCCAACAAAGGTCTTTGTGGAGGCAGGACTAGTTGTGCCTGGTGAGTTTAGATTCACCTGGAGTCCCCTGAGCTCCAGCAATACACTGAAGCAGGGTTGTACCAGCCAAGAGAGCAGATCGTTAGATTTCTAGGAATGTTGTGAGCTGGTTTTTAAACACAACCATTATTAGACATTAAGTTATATAAATTTATAATTAAGGTAGGTAAAACCTCAAAAATCATGAACTTCCTAATTGTTTTACTATTTATATTCTTGAGGCTATTGACATCTATTGTATTTGTGTGGTGGAAATACTATATAATTGTGTGCCACTGACCGTCTCTCCCCAACTCCACTATACAGAGGCATCACACTTGTAGTTTACAATCAGCTACAGTGGGAATGTCTACACCAGCAGTGGGCAAACACCACATAGCATGGCCTGTGGGCTGGTGGTTAAACATTTAGGAGTGCACCACCACTTCTGGGTGACAGAGAAAAGAAACAGAGACATAAGCTGAAATATTTTTGTTTCAGGGAGGTGGGACATGTGAAGATTTTCTCAGAAGCAAGTGTCCTGGTAAACTGTGCACAACCCATTCATAGAAAACCACTTGAAAACGTGTGCGCCCATGTGTCTGTGTGTGTGTAGAACAGCTTCGTGCTTTTCATACGTGAAAAACTCTGCTCTGATTCATGAGGTCAGTCTCACCTGGGGGAGGAATTCCAGCTAAGTTCCCTCCGAAGACAATGCATGGTGGGCAAATTGAAAGTGCACTAATTAGAAAAATGAAAATGTGCTTTAAAGAATAAGTAGGCACCAAAATAGCTCATTTCCAAGTGGTTTATACAGAAATACCAGAGCGATGCTCCTCCGACACAGAAGAGATCATTTATAAATGATTGTTTTGCTATTTTTGCTTCTTATTAAAATTATTACTGTGGAACAGAACGCTTTGTTTGCCTTTGTTCCTCAAACTCTGTGCCTTTTGGTTCTTTTAAAATAAGAATTGCACACTGAATCTACATTTTATTATTTTCATATCGTAAAAGTAAGGGAAATGCTTCCTCCTATTCACTTGCACTGCAGCTGCATTCTGAAAAACCATAATTTTCCTTTCAAACACAGAGAGCTGTCTGAATTGTAATATTGCCCACTCTCAACTGTCAAGATGACGGGGAAAATGCTGCTGCAGATGGTAGGAGCTTGTCAGGGCCCGCTCAGCGTGCCCTCCCGGACTGACACTTGAATTAAGATTCAAACGGCAAGGGAGAGCCGAAAGCTGTGAAAAATGGCTGTGCAGTGCAGGCAGAGACCCCAGAGACTGGAAGAATCTGCGCCCACCCAGCGAACTCTTGACAGATCAGGGGCATCAGGCCTGCGCCCGCCTGACATTTCAAGAGGCTTCCTGGGAGGAAGTGATGAGAACATTGGGAACAAATTGAGGGTCAGCAACAGGCCCACGTCTGGAGCTGAGGTGGTTGTTTCTCCACATGAAGCAACAGCCTGGCTGAAATTGTGCAGAGGGGGCACCAGTGGAGAGAGCTTTAGGCTGGCTACAGACACCTTCCCAAGCTGGTGGATCTCAGGATTGCCTATCCTTGAGGAACAAGCCTATGGGGTTTTCCTTTCTATTTCTGGTGTCTCTGGGACTCTCCTGGCTTCTTGATGTTGCCTCCGACCTGGCTGTCACACTGGTGGCTCACTGCTTTTCTACTGGCTGCTGCTTTCACTATAGTTTTCCTAAGTCAGGAAAGAGGCTTCCCCCAAGGACTGCAGCTCTTCTGCCAGCCTAAGTCTATGTGCTCTCAGTGACTCATGGCTCTTTAGATTTCCCTAGGGCATTTGTATCCTCATTTTTTAAAAAAATTGGCTGCAGTTCCCATGAGACAAGTGAGAGACTATTTGAGTAGTAGCACTCGTGTCACATCTAAGCACATTCCTAGCTAAAGAGACATGGCAACTGAAGACACTGCCCGCTCAGGGATTTTCTCCTGCTATTTAGGGCATTGTTAGGACAACTGAATTGGTGCAACCTGAACGTGATCTGTATTGCATTGTCTGAGAGTTTCATACCCGTGTAATTTCCTGACTTTGGTGACTAGATGGATGAGAAAATGTAAGAGTGTCCTTGTTTTTTAAATATACCATTAAATATTAAGGGTTTGGACTGGGGAGATAGCTCAGTGGTGTGGTGACTGCCTGGCAAGTGCAAGGTCCTGAGTTCGAACCCCAGTACAAAAAAAATAAAAAAAGAGCTGGGCCGGGGATTTAGCTCAGTGGTTCTGCTGCCTGACTCACAAGCACAACATCCTGAGTTCAATCCCTGGTACCAAAAAAAAAAAACAAAGAAATGTTTTCTTAGTGATTGCTCTGTAAATTATAATAGATATTTTTTCTCACTCTACCTTAGATTAATGCTAACTTAATTCCAGAAGAATAGAGAAACTTTGCTCCCAATGTGGCTCTATTTCTTATCTCCTCACTTCACACAGATGTATGAAATAGGCATCACTGGGAGATAGCTGGGAAATATGACAAGTTATTTACAGTTTAATTGAAACACCATATTAGTAATCTGCATGTTACTCGAGGCTATACAAAGTCATGATAAACCAATTGTGAAAAACAAGTTTTACTGATTTCCACATCTAAAGCTCTATCTTTCCTCACATATGCTGATAGAATCATGGCTGTGGAAGAGTATGCAAACTTCAGCTGAAAGGTACTAGATATTCAGTACACAGAACCCATGGGTCACTAGGAAATGGGACGATCTTCTTCAGCTGAGATGAGACTGAGTAACTCTTGAATACTGTTTTGTTCTTGGACAGTGAGCTGTTGGTCTTTGGCTAGTGTGAGGGCTCTCATGGCATATTCCTGTGCCTGAAATAGAATTGCAATGACAAAAGGACATTATCACAAGGAAGTATAACACTGAGAAGCCCTACTTGTTAACTCCAGAAATATAGAGGAAGACACATTACCTTCTCACACCAACCACTGAGCTCTTGTTGATAAATGTGTGAACACACATGGGGCCCTTGTGGCTGGCCACACATGCGCTGGGTGGGGAAATCCATCTGACTTGACCAACTAAGTATAAATAAGTACACTTTCTTAGCAAAGTGGAATCTTCATAGGATTTTAATCAGAGCCCTATGGACCAACATTGGAAGGCATAGAGGTGATGGATGCCTATCATGGCTTAGCTCTAAATGTTCCCCAAGTCTCCTATTCAGAGGTGGGGCTTTTGTTAGGTTACTGGATCACAGGGGTGCTATCCTCATCAGTGGATTCACCTTCTGATGAGTTCATAGCTGAATATGCTGTTAGGAGGAGGGCCTTGGCTGGAAGAGGCGGGTCACTGGAGGTGTGATCTAGAAGGGTATATATGCCTGTCCTCAGCTCCTCCCTTCCCCTCTGCTTCCTGGTTGCTATGAGGTAACCAGGTTTCCTTTCCTATGCTCTTCCCTGTGCTTTTTCTGCATTGGAGTGAGCTAACAATGGACTGAAAATTTTGAAACTGTGAGCCAAAATAAACCTCTAGTCCTTTAAATTGCAAGTGTCAGACATTTTATCCCAGTGACCAGGAGGTGATTAATGCAGTGCCACAAATAAATTACCATCCTGAGGGAGAAATTACCATTCCAGAGTTTTTGACTTTGATAGAAGTCTTGCAAGACAACCTGGGAATTTCTATTCCTCCTTCCCTTTCTTCCCTTTTGTCATGGCTTGTTTCTAGATGTCCCCCACCACCACCACCGCCAAAGCCTCATGTGCTCATAGGTGGGGCTTTTCAGAGGTGGCTAGATCTAGAGTGTGTGATGCTGGAATTAAGGATGTGATGCTAGGATTGATTTATGGTACAATTCTAGAATGAAGGGTATTCCGCCCTGGGTAGCCTGAATAAAATATCAGGGACAGAAAGAGGGCTGCTATGGTCACTTGCTGCTTGCTGCTTTTGTTGCCTTCTGCCTGCCATGAACTGTTTCTCCTCTACGATGCCCTGCTGCCAGGCTACCCTGCCTTGAAGCCAGCCAATATGAAGCGAAACCTCTACAAACTGTGAGCTAAATAAACCTTTCCTCCTTTAACTCTGAGTGTTGGGTATTTTTGTCTCAGCAATGAGAAAAGTAACTAAGATATGTCTTTATTCATTTGAGACAAGGTCTCACTAAGTTACCCAGGCTGACCTCAAACTTGCAATCCTCCTGCTTCAGGCTTTCAAGTAGCTGGAATTATACCCTCCTTCCTTCTTTCTAATAAACATTTATCAACTAGTTACTATGTTCCAGTTATACTTACTATACTGTGACTCTAGGCAGAAATTATGTTTTTAAAATTTATAATATAGTAAGAGAGAGAAAGATAATAAAACAAATAAGTAAGACATAACAGTATCTTAAATAGTAAAATGTGGTAAAGAATATATAAAACAAAAGTGGGGATTATAAGCACTGAAGAGGGCAGTGGGGTTTTGTAGTTTTAGACAGGGAGGTAGGAAAAGCTGCACTAAAAAGGAAAGAACTGAGTGAAGAGCTGCAGGAAGTAAGGTGCCAACCCAGATGTACAGATGCATCCCTTTTGTCTAAGGGCAACTTGTATACCTAACACTCTGAAAATGCCTTGGGGTAGTGACTTTCCCAAAATCAGGCTCTACACTGTAAAAAAGAGATTTGTCCAATGTAAATTGGAAAATGTGGTAGAAATAGTTCTCTATTCCCTAACCTAACATTGATTCCTCACCTACCCCTATTCCAGGCAGGGTCAGGGCACCTCTTTGTGTCTCCACAGTGCCTTTGGCTTCCCTGTCACATCTCCTACAACCCCTGACTGTGAGCTCCTCCAGGCCTTGAGGTACAGTGGGTGGTTAGTAAATGCCTGGTGAAGGAAGAAGGGAATCTTAAAATTTCCCATGTTACCCATACAAGAAAGCTTCCTTCCACACAGCCCTCCCCACCCTCTCTCTTCCAGCCTGCTTTATTTTTCTTTGTTACACTTTTCCCTATCTGAAACTACATTACACATTTATGTTTACCCATTTATTGTGGCTTCCCCTCCTCCCAAAATCCTAAGTTCCCTGGAAAGAGGAAACTTCTCTAGTTATTCACCTCTGTATCCCCAGTCCCTAGAACAGTGCCTCACAAATAGAAGACATTCAACAATATGTGAATTAAGAGGTGAATCAGTGAATTGATACATTAATTAACCTGAGATATGCCCCCACTATCAATAAGACATTGGGCAAATAACTGACCCTCTCTGTGCTTTAGTTTCCTTACCTGTAAGGAAGGAATAACAAAACTACCAACCTCATAAAGTTGTAACAAGAAATATCATATTAAATATGATAATTATGTAAAGGGCTTAAGCCAGTGGCTGATATATAATAATCATAACCCTAACCCTCTTACCTTTTTTAATTGGTTCATAGCAATTCATTCCTGCCCCTTCAGTAATAGGGACCTGAGTAATTGAGTGTTAGAGTGGCCACTTCATTCTCCAAGGACTCCCCAGAGCCCACTGCCCTGCAGGCTTTCTGACACTGACCCAAAATCAGTTCACCTATGCAAGCCTGGGAAGTTTCCCTGGAGGGAAGAAGGCAATCCAGGATCCACCATTGTAAGCTGGACTCAACAGATGAGAAACGTCATGAGCATCTGAACTTTTACAGAGGGAAGGCTTGCTTGCTCTCAGGGAAAGAGCTGGGGGACTGGGAAAAACACAGTTGAATCCATCCATATACAAGGAGAATATCTATCTCTGTTTTAGACATGCTGCTTTTCTAGGGAAACTTGCCTTTGAAGAATTCATCATCTGGTAGTAAAGCATGGTCAGAGTTTTCAGAACAAAGGCAGTTTTTTGAGGAGATTTGTCAGGAGTTGATTCTCGAAAGTTCAGGATGGAAGTCAGGATCTGAATAGCTTCTGCTTCCTGGGCTTCATCTGCAATAGAAGGGAGGAAAGAAACACGGACTGAGCAGCTGAGGCTGCCCTCATCATAAGTGCTCAGCTGTGTGGCGCTGGTCCTCTGCAGCCTCCTTGCAGGAGCTCTGGTAGAAGCAGCACAAATCCCAGCAGGCTTCTTGTGGGAGAAGGACTGCCTCCACATGCAGGCAGGAACTCAGGCAGTGTGGCAGGCCGCTCTCTCACTTTGTCCAGCATGTGATTATCAGAGCAACCTTAAAAATGCTCTTCCACCAATCTCAAAGTGCTAAGCTTTCTTTCCCTCAGATCCTACATCCTAAATCTCTGGGACCCCTAAATCCAGGGAACTTGTCACAGCTGGATTCCTTGGGTCTAGTTCCTTGAGGGCCACTTCTACTCTGCAGCCGAGAGGAGGAGTCAGGGGCACTTCTGGCAGCTGCAACAGTTAATTCCTCTCCCAAAGTCCAAAGATACCTAAGCAATAGTCTTTCTGCTACCCTGCATGAGATTATTTATTATTTTCTCCAGTGGTGTTTAGTCATACATTAATCACTATTTATTGAGCAATTATTATGGACTAAGTACTAAAAAATCACATCTTTAACAAGCTTAATGAAGAAAGCAAAAAGGGCAGACACCATGATGTTAAGGTTGGAGACCTCTATGAGTTCCAAGCTTTCTGCTGTAATGTGAACTACTTTTATAGTGACAAAAAAACCTCAATAAATTTATTTTTTAAACTTTAGCTCAAAATTTTTCCTCCAAAGTCACTTCTTCAATACCACCCAACTGTTTTCACTTAATTCCCAGACTCATCTTGTAATTTCATTTTTTCTTGTGGAAATGTTCTTTCATTATTGTGTATATGTTCTGGGCCACCAGCTTCTTGGGATGTTTCTTCTGAACAGAAACAAGATTCCCTGACTCTTTTTCTTGTCTCCAAAGGCATGGTGCCATCTAGTACTACCTAGCCCTCGGCCCTCTGCTGAGCCTGGGGGAACGGATAAACCAAATTTTGTTCTGCTACCAAAAACCTCATTATTCTGTAAAGGAGGAGAAGAAGCCATGAGAACAAACCAGCAATCTGCCTTCTTTGAAGAGCTTGTGTGCCCTGGAGGAATCACACAAGATGGATGTTCTGAAGAAACCACACGGGCCCTGGTTGGGTCTTTTTTCCTCCAGATCTGCCCCCTACCAGTCCCCTGAGGAGTACAAGTCATGATAGGGATCTGAATTATTCCCAACACTGGTAAAAGCTCTGACCCTCATCTCAGTTTTCCTCATTAGTAAAATAGGGAAGGTAGCACTAGGCCCTGTGACGGGAACAGCTACTCTTCCCGTTAGCGGCAAGGCCGAGGTGTTAGGGAGGATAAAGTCACTGCTGTACCTCCTGGGAGAACTGCCACTTACCCAACCCGGTGTCATTCACAAATGGTTTCCCTAGTAAATCTAGTTGTTGGATGCGAGCTTGTGAGAGGACTTGATAGTGATCATTCAAATACTTATGCCAGATCTCTGACACCTGTTGGGAAAGGAGATGGCAATCAGATAAACAAGCCAGGCCTCAGCCGTTGGACCCAGCTTTCCTAAGTCTGGCGCCCCCTCTCTTATTGTGTCTTGGGACAGAGGGAGCCTTGGGACCCCCAACAGACCTTTCCAAAGTGAGCATGACAAGGGATGGGCTGCAGAGGATGCAAAGCAGGCTCATCTGAGGATGGAGTCTAATAACACTTGTGGGGCACACACCATACTAAACCCTTACATCCTTACAACATCCAGTTTGTTACTATTCTCACTTTAGATGCAAATAAACTGAGGTTTAGAGAAGTTATGATCACACTTGACTTTTGGGAAGAGTTATCAAGAGGTGTATCATGGAGTTAAACCTAGATCTGACCCACTGCTTTTCAGTGTCTTTCTAAGAAATGGGCCTAAAATGTGAATCAACAGTCACAGCATGAGAGCCTGTATCACACACAGAAATGGTTGCTGGCCAAGTGAGGTAGTGCTGAATGAAGACAGTATATTTTGGCATATGGAGCAGTTTTAATTTACTACATATAAAGACAGAATTTTCTAATTATCACTCTTGTGTTCTTTGATCCCTTGACAGGACATTGCATTGATAAATTTCTCTTGAAAAGCTCTTCTCTTCTTCAGTAGCCCCCATTAGCTTGCCTCTATGGGTGTGACACAGCCAAAGAAGCATCCTATGGATGCTAAAGATTAAGCTATTTGGTAGTAGAAAAATAGGGAGAAAAGAAGAGTATGTATATCATGCTTCAGGCTACATAACCCTTGGTAAGTCCCTTCATTTCTCTGAGCCCTCTCTCTCTCTCTCTGCTTCTTCTCTCCTTCCACTTTTTTTTCCAGCACTCGGAATTGAACCCAATCCTTTTTAATTTTTTGAGGTAAAGTCACTAAGCTGCTAAGTGGCCCAGGATGGGCTTACATCGCAATGTTCTTGCCTTGGCCTGACACAGTGCTGAGATGATAGGCATGCACCACCATGCCTGACTGGTTTGTTATAAACAGTCTGACACTAGTTACAAGATACCAGGCCTAGGGCCGGGGATGTAGCTCAGTGGTTCTGCTGCCTGACTCACAAGCACAAGGTCCCGAGTTCAATCCTGGGTACCAAAAAAAAGAGATACCAGGCCTAAATGTTAAGGCTCAGCTCCCACATTCCCCAGCTCACCTTAGTGTACAACGTATCTGCCAGGTCCAATTTTTTAAGGCTACAGAAGATGTTAGCCAGGTGGAAGTAGCCTCCAGAGGTCCTGATGTCCTCTGTTCCAAATGCACAACTGGCAAAATAGATCTATTGCAAGAGGAAGGAGAGTGCTCGAGTTCCCTTTGCAAATCATGTGTATCCAGAATCCATCACACACAGAAAAAAAACTTACAACAGGCCGATATAAAAATGGGCTAAGGATCTGAATGGACATTATTCCCAAAAATATGTACATGAATAATAAGCATATAAAAAAAAATCACTTAACACTAATGGTCATTAGAGAAGTGCAAAATAAAACCCTAACAAGATACCATTTCATACCCACGAGAATGATTATAATATAAAAAAGACAGAAAATAAAACATGTTGGTGGGAAAGAGGAGAAAATGAAGCTCTCATACTTTGCTGATAGGAAAGCAAAATGGTATGGCCTCTATGGAAATAGTTGGGCTGCTCCTCAAAACGTTAATCATAGTCAGTTATTATATGATCTACCAACTCCTCTTCTAGTACCTGTCCAAGAGTAATGAGAGTGTACATCCACACTAATACGGGTACACAAAATTTTGTGCAATATTATTTATAAGAGCCAAAAAGTAGAGACAACTGAAATGCCCATCACCTGACGAATGGGTAACCAATCGGGTCTACCCAGAAGATGGGCTACAATTTAGCAGTAAAAGGAATGAACTATTGATACGTGCAACTAATTACGCAAGGTGAAAGGAGTCAGATGTCAATTCTACATGTGATTCTGTTTATATAAAATGTCTAGAAAAGATTAATCTATAGAGACAGAAAGTGGTTGCCCGGGGCTAGGGGAGGAATGCGAAATGACTGCAAATGGATATGAGGAATCTCTTTGGGGTGACAGAACTGTTCCAAAAACTTGATTGTGCTTATGACTCTATAAACGTGCTAAAAATTATTGAATTGTACACTTAAAATGAATTTTGGGGGCCATATCAATAAAGTCTTGTGATAAAAGAAAAAAAGCTAGGCTGGGGAATCTAAACTTGATATAATTCTTAACTGTGTGGCCCAGATCAAGATAGAATGTGTCTCTGCTCAACTTGTTGGAAGATGCAATATGGAAAATAGAGAAGAAACACAGATGAGGAACTATATTGCCCATGGGCCAGAAGGAAGCAGATGGTATCCTCAAAAGTTAGTTTAATGGAAGAATTACTTGAGACATGGAAGCAAGGGCTAATGAAGCAGTAGCGACAACCAACAGCATGAGATTATTGCTATCTCTAGCCTTGGAAAGCAATGAGAGAATATAGGGCTGACAGGCCTCAACGAGAGCAAAACAGGCCACTTGACAGGAGCTGGGGCCACTGAGGAAAGTGAGTGTCGCTGCCGGAATGGGCTGAGGCAGAAAGAAGAAATCCTCCAACCTCTCTCTCCCTCGCCCACTACTTCTCTCCTCTTCCTTCCTTTCCCCAAACTCCAGCCAAAGCCAGACAGCAACAGAGTCCATGAAGTACAGTCTCCCAGGTTAGGGAGTAGGAAAAAGAATGAATTTGGGGTTTGGAGATAGAGGGAGCAAGTATCATGAGGATGGATTTATGGGCAACGGTCAGCTCAGTGGCAGGCAGGCAGGGGGAATATTGTCCATGGAGAAGCCAGTAAGAGGCTAAAGAAACAGCTAACATATGTGAAGATTGCAGTCTGACCCAACCTAACCTGATTTCTCTCTGGTAATATTTTCCAAGACCGAAATCCTAAGAGGAGCCTCATAATTTTGAAAGAACGGCTCAGTTATTATTCCCTATCATCTTATCTAACATTTGTATAGAGTTTCAGAGTATAAGTGCTTTCTTATAGATCTAGTTCATTTAAATTTAATAACCACACTCTGAAGTAGATATTGCTATTTTTAAAGTAGCCAAAGTACTGTACCCATACTGTTCTATTATTAATCTCTGCAATGACCCGATGTGTCAGAGAAGTTTTGTTTTATGATTTCTGTCTCTGAAAGAGGTTAAATAATTTAGCCCAAACTATGTAGCTGGTGAAACAACAGAGCTGGGACTAGAGGCAAAGCCCTTCTCTTAACCAGTATGAAGCTGTTTCTCCTTATTATCCTCAGAGCAACTGAGGCTTGGCCAACCTGGCCAAGGTTGCATAGTCAGGGAATGGAAAGGTTTGAAATCAAGACTTAAGAATTGTGTTCTTAGGGCCAGGGATTTAACTCAGTGGCAATGTGCCTGCCTTGCAAGCACAAGGTTCTGAGTTCAATTCCCAGTACTGGAAAAAAAAAAATGTGTTCTTACTGATACTTGACCAAATGGTCCATTGCAAACATGAAATTTCATAGAAATGTTCATTTAAAAAACAAAGCAACTAAAGTCCCAGGTGTTTTATAATTTAGCTTGCTTACATCATTGGCCAGATGATAACGGGCTTCCTCATAGTTTCCTTTAGCCATGTAAAGAAGTCCCAGATTCCGATGCAGTAAAGAGTAGGTGGCATTGTTACAGTCAGTTGACTTGAGGACTGTCCACTGGGCTTGCGAGAGGTATTCTTCAGCTTGAACAATCTGGCCTAGACCTGCCCAAAAGCAGTAAAGAAGTTATAATTCATATTTTGACCAAAGATCACATGATGAAATAGGAGTCCTGACCCATTCAATTATTTATTCATTGACTAAAATAGTTTTTAATATTTTATTGGTACATTTTAGATATACAGTACAGTTACATTCATCATTGGAATCTTGCACCCTTACGTGACATATCTTGGTTCTTATTTTTTCCCTCTTCCCCTGCCCCCCTTCCCCTACCACCCTTCCCTATTTACAACAACTTTCTTTCCATTTTTTTCTTTTCGCTTATTTTTTCTCTTCCCTTTTACCTTTCCCCATCCCTCCCATTTGCCCAATACCTTTAGACCTTTTCTTCCTATTACAAAATATCAATTATACATTTTTACACTTTTAGTTTGTCACACCAGCGAAACTATATGGTATTTACACATGTCCTATTAATTTCATTTAAGAGTATGTCCTCAATGTGCATCCACTTAGCTATAAACATTTCTAGTTTCTCATTCTTTATGGCTGAGTAGCACTCCATTTTATAAAGCAACCACATCTTCTTTATCCAGTCTCCAGTTGATGGGCATTTGGGCTGTTTCCAAGTTTTAGCTATTACAAACTGTGCCACTATAAACATAGGTGAGCATACATCATTGTGGCATGATTCTTTTAATTCTTTTGGGACAATACCCAGCAGGGGAATAGATGGGTCACATGGGACTTCTATCCTAGTTGTTTGAGGTATCTGCATATTGATTTCCAGAGCAGTTGCACCAGTCTGCACCCCCATCAACAATGAAGAAATTGACTCAAATATTTATTGACACACAAAAATTTGTACATGAATGTTCATAGCAGCCTATTCATAATAGCCAAACATAAAAACAACTTAAATGTCTATCACCTGAGTGGATAAAAAAATGTCATATCCATATTCGTGTGTGAAATATTATACAGTTACAAAAATGATGGCGTACTGATAAATGCTATAACATGGATAAAACCTTGAAAAATGTTATACTAAATGAAAGAAGCCAGATACTAAAGCAATATAATATATGATTGTTTATATGAAATGTTCAAAACAGGCAAATTTACAGAAGCAGAAGGTAGATTAATAGTGGCTAGAGGCCAAGAAGGGCTGGAAATGACTAACCAGAACTAATTGCCCACAATTACATGCTTTCCTTCAGAGCTGATAAAATGTTCTGGGATTAGATGGTGGTACTGGCCACACAACCTTGTGAATATACTAAAACCACTGGATTACTTCAACAGGGTGAATTTTATGGTGTGTGAATTATATCTCAATTTATGAACATATACATGCAAACTTAATACCTTTTATGTACCAGGCCTGGCATAGAGTGGTAAGGATTCAAAGGTGAGTCAAAGCCATTACCCCAGAAAAACTCACAGACGGGTTGGGGGAAGGCATGTGCAATATGAAAACATACATATTCGTTATGGAGTGTAAATGCAAGGATAGCAAAATGAGGTTTGGAAGTGGCAGTGAATAAGAAATGTTTAATTCTATGAAAGGGTAGGAAAGAGACAATGGAGCGGGGAGAGGCGTAGTCAGCTGAGTCCACACTTGGCTGTAGAGAAGAACATAGCTTTCCAGTTAGATAAAAGGAGGGTGGGGATCCCTGGCAGAGATAACTACATGTGCAGAGTCACAGATACAAAACAGCGAGCTGTGTGTGGGAAACAACAGGTCTGTGAGGATGGAGCACAGAGTGTGAAGGACAGGATGGCAGGAAATGGGACGGAAGAGGTAGAAGAGCGGGAGAGCATGGAGGGCTTAGTGAGTCAAGCCTTGAGGCATGAACTCAATGCCTGTAGATAAAATGAGTGAAGTTTTAGAAGGGGAAGCAAATTGGATTTAGATTTAGAGAGGTCTTCTGAAGCCAATGTGGAGGACAAACCAGAAGAAAGAAAGGTAGAAGACTTGAAATAATTCAGGCAAGCACTGAAAAGAGCCTGAGCCAAGTCAGTGAATGGAGACTGTGCAGATACGAGAGAGATATTAAGGGGCTAGAATGGACAACACACGGGTACTAAGTGAGGTAAGAGAAAAGAAAATTACCTTTATTTTTCATATTAATATAATTTGCATGTGTGTGTGTGATACTAGGGATTGAACTCGGTACCTTGAGCTTGTGAGGTAGGTGGCAGAACCACTGAGCTAAATCCCTGACCCTATTAATATAGTTTTGACCCTTAAAACTCTTTGTTTAGCTATAAAGATAGATAATAGCTGCCTATCTACTTGCCTCCTAGGGAGGTTGTCAGAATTGAAGAGAAAATTTTCTGCAGAGAAGAGGCATGCTCCAAGAGTGAAGCATTTTGTGTGATGAATGCTATAGCAAAGATGGCATCAATAAAGCAGCAGGAAAAAAATAAAATAAAATAAAGCATCAGGAGATGAGAACACAAACCCTCCATCAATAAGCCTTCTGCTCCTTTGTCTTTTCTCACAGACCTAGTTCTTGCGTGCTGTAGGTTGGGTCTGGGATATTCCCCCAAAGCCCAGTCTCCACGTTGGTGCTGTTGGGAAGTGGTGGGGACCTGAAGAGGTGGGGCCTGATGGGAGGCCTTGAGTTACTGAGTTGTATCCTCAAAGAAGGTAACGGGATCTCAGCACCTTCCTCTCGCTCTTTTATGTCCTGGCCATGAGGTAAAAGGTTTTTCTCTGCCACCCACTCCTACAAAGATGAGCTCCCCACCTCTCCACCACCATCACCAGAGGCCTAAAAGTAATGGGTCGACTTGATCACAGGCTGAAAGCCCACGACGGTGAGCCAAAGGGACCTTTTCTCTTTGTAAATCAATTATCACAGGTATGTGTTATGGTGCTAGAAGTAGACTAACATATTATGCAGCCATTCTTTTCATCTACTTATAATTTTATATCACTGAATTAGGGGAGGAGAGGTGAAGAGGAAGACAAGTAACCTTGCTTGACTAAGGGTTAAGGACATATGAAAATGGGAAAATACTAGATCAGAAGCCAGAGGCCTTGCTCTGTGATCTTGCCCCACATGAACATGACAAGTCATACCCTCCACATAGGCTTTGCCTATAAAGTAAGAAGCTTGTCCTCCAAAAGTTGAAGAAGGAAATGGCTCTTAGTTAAGACTAATTGGCCAAATGGTAGAAGACATTGAGAAATACTGTAAATTTTATTTTTCACTATCAGGTTCTCATTTAAGGAGAAAACGCCAAAGACATGAGACAGATGAGAAGCACCTGACTCCCCTTCTTTTTAGTGACGGGCCGATGCAGATGGGGGTGCGGTTTGGTGAAGAGCTATCATGCCCCTCCTCCCCACTTCCCTCCCTCCCGGAGGAAGGACACAGACAGCTTGCTTCTGTGTAACTTCTTGGGTTACTTCCTGCTGTTCTCTGGCTATACTGACAGGAGGTGCAGTCAGCTGTGAGCTGTGGTGTGCCTCCCTAACCAGATGCTGCTGCCCCTTTGGAGAAGTGGGGGGTAAACCACCCCTAACATGGCAGCGATCAAGGAGGAATCTGAGCTTATTATTAACATCCCCAACTTCCCCTAAACTCCCAAAAGCTATGATTAGCACAGCTAGTCCTCCTGAAGATTCCCAAGTTTGGGCCCCACCATTTTTCACTGTCAGTCCAATAGCCTGTATCTTCCTGCTCTACCCAAACCATCACTATGACAGCTGTGGCTGTCCTGGATACCTCCTACCTCCTCTGGAGGATATCTGTTCTGACTGCAGCAGGCTTAAATTTAAACTAAGCAGAACTGAATGTGGACCAATCAGTAGGCTTGGGTCAGAAGACTTGAGTTTAGACCAGTTTGGACCAATTAGCAGGCTCAAATTTGGAACAATCAGAGGCTTGCAGAATTCCCTCATACTTCTGGAGTTGGTCTAGGAGTGCCATCTCTGGTATGCTGAGTCCCCTGTGCTGCAGCATAGGTCCTGTTCAAATAAAGGCTCACTTGAATGGTCCTGTAAATCAGCTCATGATTTATTTCTTAGTATGGCCTTGGGAGGTTTTATAAACCTAATCGAATTCCTGTCTATGTGGACAGAGTGGTCACTTCCAAATAAAGCACTATAAACCCTGCAGAGCTCCAGAGACTGGCAGTCAGTGAAGATCAGTGACAGAATATTAACTGTACTGGTGGAGTGAACTGACAGTGTCTAGTACCAACTGGAATCAGCTGGTGGCAGCCAGCAGTGCAGAGATCAGCAACTGGCAGGGTTGACCAATGATGCTTCTCATGAACTAGTGTCATCAGGATCCAGAGCTGTAATAACAAGGGCTGAGTGCTGTTGGCACCCAAAGCCCAGGGCCACTAACAGAGCTTCACTTTGCTGAATCATAATTTCTATCTGCATCGAGCAAAAGAACCATCAACTAATTGGCAACAGAAGGAAAGGTCTTAAAGCCAAGCTGCACCAACATCTAAATAAGCATCAGTCCTGCAGGGATAGGGCAGAGTAAGGTAAGAGAATGGGCTGCTGATAGCTCACTGGTCCTTAGTCAGAAATAAGATTGTGCCCAGTGAGTGGGTAGTTGAAGCAGGTCTCTTATAAAGACTGCCTGCCTGAAGGACATAGGGATCAAGTGGATGTAGTGGGGACAGAGTTGCTGAAGGAAGTGAGGCTCTCTTGAAGGGTGATTTTAATAATATTTGAAGGGTGATTTTAATAATATATAAATTAGGACTGGGGATTTAGCTCAGTGGTTTCTCTGCCTGCCTTGCAAGTGCAAGGTCCTGAATTCAATCCCCAGTACAAAAAAAAAAAAAAATCTCTCTCTCTCTCTCTCTCTCTCTCTCTCTGTATATATATATATATATGAGAGAGAGAAAGAGAGAGAGAGAGAGAGAGACTTAAGGACCAAAGGCAGTTGTCTGAAGGATGAGGCAACGGGTTCACACTAGGTTAGTGGCAGGTCTGAGAGACACAGAGACATTATGGGGGAAGATTTTTCAGGTCAAGGAACACAGAATGCAGTAGAAACAAACGAGTCAAAAATTGCAGCTGTAAGGTGCCCAGGGGAAGAAAAAAAATCAGCATTTACTGACAACCTGCTATCTGCCCCATGCTGTGGAAGTTCCTTTGTACCTGTGATTCAAGTGAGCTAACATCCCTGTGAAATAATTATCAGAAGAATAATTCACAGAAATTTCACTCCTTCCACCACGTTATTGAGTCTCCATCACTGCGCTAGATGCTTTAGTGCACACTGAGACATGATCTCTGACCACAAGTCAAGTGGTAGATTCACAATCAAATGAACATGAAGTGCTATGGAGGATGGGAACAGAACAGTGACCAAGAAATAGCAGAGAGGAGACTACCCTGGTGATATTCAAGCACACACCCAAGGGATGACTAGAAGCCAGTCCTGTGTGATGGAGAAAGATTTCTAGTCTTGAGGTCAGAAACAGCTTGGTGGCTACGATCCACTCAACCAGCAAAGAGAGAGCAGAGATCTGAACAGGGCTTCTCCTCTCTGATGATAGCAGTGGATGACAAACAGCATGGTTTCTCCTTGAAGTGTTACTGAAAATGTCATTTCTATTTGATTTAAAATTCCAAAGTTGGGCCGGGGATTTAGCTTAGTGGCATGGTGCCTGCCTTGCAAGCACAGGTCCTGAGTTCAACTCCTGGTACCAAAAAATTTTTTTAAAAAATAAAATTCCAAAGTTTACAAGAAAAAGAAGAGAAGGAGGAAGAGGAGAGACTGAATATCTGTTATTTTCCTCCCCAGTCTGTAGGAATGTCTAAAGACAGGAAAGAAGTATGTGCACAAGGAATGTGATTTATTTTGGCTTTGCAAAATGTTGGCAAGGTTTTAAATCAATGACTTGGCATTGTAGTAAAACCTTTCGCTTCAACTTAACGTTCAAGCTTTCAAAGCACTTTTATATTATTACCCATAAAGTCATTTAACCCTCAAAGCAATACTATGAACAAGACCCAAATTCAACAAATGTTTATATAGTGTTACTGAGGGGTCAGGCGCTGAGAGTATTTTTTGAGTGACTTCTCTACTTGGTCTGAAGACATTGTGATGAAAACTACAGGCACAGAGCCAGTTCTCCCTGAATTTATAGGATGGTGGAGGACAGAGACATTAATTAGACAGTCTCATCAATGAATATATAAATATTAATGGAATATGTGCTCAGACAAAAAGAAGAAAGTTTAGGAATGAGAGTTTTAAAAAAGACATCTAACCTGGTCTGGGGGATCAGGGAGGGTTTCTAGACAAGAGGGTAATAAATACCCTTTCAGACCTGAGCTCAGGACCACTAAGAGTTAGGTGGGAAGAGTGGAAATTTGATGAGGAATGGGGTATTTCTACAGGTTTAAAGTACTGCCCAGTAAAACTAAAACCAAAACTACAATTACTAAGAGGGGAAGGAGTAACATGACAGAGAAGAAGCCTTGGAAGCATCACCTTGATAATAATAAGTGATTAAGGGAATACTTGTTCCCTCCATGGAGTGAAGCGTTCTCTGATTCTAAAATTTCAAAGAAAGCTACCTGAGATCTTCAAACTAAATGATTATAATTTGCCTTCTGTCATGTGCTTAGAAAGGTTTAAGAAGAGTGGGATGACCACAGAATGATTTGATATAAACTAGCCTAAAACTTCACAGGCCTAGTGTTCTGGTTATCTACTGCTACCCAAAATTAAATAATTTAAAACAACCACCATTTTATCACAGCAACTCCCTTTATCTGTGAAGGGCATAGTCTAAGATCTCCAGTGAATGTCTGAAACCTCTGACAGTGTCAAATCTTTTTTTTGGTACCAGGGATCAGGACCTTGTGCTTGCGAGGAAGGCAGCAGAACCACCAAACTAAATGCCTGGCACAACAGTGTCAAATCTTATCTGTACTGTTTCAACATAAATACATACCTATAATAAAGTTCAACTTATAAATTAAGTATAATAACAACAATAATAATAAAATAGGACAATTATAACTACATACTGTAATAAAAGTTATTTAAAATTTATAAAGAAGTATTTATTTCTGGAATTTTCCATCTAGTATTTTGCAGGTGCAAGTCACTGTCAGTAAAAATAGAGTGAAATGAACAGCATCTGTAACAGAAAAAACTGAAAACACCTGTCAACTTAGAGACTCGGATGAGAAGAACAGAACATAACTTCTGTGATATTCCTGCCAAAACTTCATACCCTAAGTCCAGTGATGAAGAAATAGCAGACAAACTCAAACTGAGAGATACTTTATAAAATAATTGGCCTGTGAGCTTTAAAAATGAAAACTGGAGAAACTTGAATGAGTCCTCTTTCTAGATAACAGTAGATAAAGTTGTATTATGGCTATGAAAAAGAACTTCTTAATAGGAAATATACACTGAAGAATTCTAGAGATGGAGTCAAGTAAGTAACTTACTCTCAGGAGCTCCAGGGTACAGGGAGGGTATATATTGTACTTCTAACAGTCTTACTTAAAAACTTTTGTTGTTGTTTTGTTTTTGTTTTGCAGTACTAGGGATTGAATCTAGGGCCTTATATATGCTAGGCAAGGGCTCTATCACTGAATTATATCCCCAGCACTTAAAAAAATTAAAATGATGGTCATCAAGGTGCATAAAGTATTATTTCAGTGCCTAAACTATGGTAGATCTTCAGAATGTTAAATTTTCTCAGAATTCTATTTCTCCTCTTGAAGTAGCCACATGAGCTTCCATTAAGCCTGTGCTCCCCCGTCAGCATTGCCCCTCCCACCTATAATGGTGGGTTACTGTATCTCTGAACCATGTGACCCTGACCCCATGTGGTCTGTAGAGACAAGAAACAAAGCAGACACTCAGAAAGGAGCAGAGATAAGAAACAAGGCCCAGGAGAGATACTGAGAGCACCAGCCTTGGTTTCTTACAGTATTCCAGTCCTAGTTCCTCGTGAACTTTCAACTCCCTTACCTAATAAATTGCCTCCTTTTACACAGGTCAGCTTGAGTAAATTTCTGTCAGTTGTGTTCCCCATCTTGTGCCAAATTTCAAAACAACCTTGGTCTTACATGAAAAGTACCTTGGTGCCCCAAAGAGTGGACACTTTGGCTGTTCGTAACACAGAATTTCTTAAGGGCTCTAGGGTATCTTATATCAGTTTCACTCACCAAGGCTGGCCTCAGCCAACAGCAGGTAAGCAGGCACAAGCTCTACTGAACTCAGGCCATGCATGGCCATGCGGAAGCGAAGGGAGTGCAGAGCTGCTGGGACGGCATCTTCATATTTTCCTTCAAAAAGATATTTCTGGGCAACCATGTAGCAGAATTCAATCAAATGCTTCTGTAGTAGAAACAGAGCAGACAAACAATCTAAATGTAAAAGGCAAAGCTGGGCGTAGATACACCTGGAGATAGGCCAACATTCTTATCTAGAGATAAGTCATTAAGACCATGGAAGGCTCACAGGGAGCCTGCAAATCAGATAACATACAAAGTAGCTCGGGATTCTGACTTCTTTGATATCCAGGAATTGCATCTTCGTCTTAGTTCTCTCTTTGGTGGATATGCATGAACAGTATAAAGCTATTAGGTGAATAAATATCCATTTATTATAGTTCTAATAAAACATGTTTAGCAAAGCTATAGATATTATGGGATGATATAAAATTTTCTATTCAAACTGGGCGTGGTGGTGCACACCGTAATCCCAGCACTCGGGAGGCTGAGGCAGGAGGATTGCTGTGAGTTCGAGACCAACCTGGGCTATGAGTTCCAGGTCAGTCTCAACTACATAGTGAGACCCTGTCTCAAAAAACCAAAATAAATAAATAAGTAAATAAAATTTTCTATTTGAACTAATTTTAAGAGAAATATCTCATTTTTCCTTCTGGAATTATCCTTCGTAGCTAACAACTGCTAACAAAGTACTATAACACCAAAATTGATAAATCCAGTATTTAGAGTTTAGGACTCATAAAATGCTAATTCTTATAGTAATTAAGATGCTATTGATAGCATAATAATGGGAGTCAGTTTTGTGAAATCTCCTCTATTTATTTACTAGTTATATCTTCCCAGTATGTGGCCAAAGTCTTATCACAGTACTTGACACAGGTAGACACTATGGGTAGAATTGTACTCTCTACCAAATCAATGTGCTGAAACTACAACTCCCATCCTTCGGAATGTGGCTATATCTGGAGATAATGCCTGCAAAGAGTTGATTAAATTAAAATGAATCCACAAGGTGGGTGCTAACCTAATCTGACCAGTGTCTTTATAAGAAGAGGAAATTGGACACACACACAGACACAAGGGATAGTGCTCACAGAGAACCACTCAAGGACACAGCAAGGAGGAAGCCATCTGCAAGCCAGAAGGAGAGGCCTCTGAAGAAACCACAGCAGCCAGCGCCTTGATCTTGGACTTCTATCCACCAGAACCACGAGACAATAAATTTCTATGGTTTGGGTCATCCACTCTGTGGTATCTTGTTATAGCAGTTCTAGCAAACTAAAGTAATGAGTATTCAGTATGTGTGGAAACAACTGACTAAATGAGATTGAAAACAAAGGCGCAAAGCAAAGTTTCTGCCCTCACTGAGGTTACAGTTTAGTGATCACAACACCGTTCAACCCTTATCTGGGGTAGTTTCACTGCACCCATGAGCTAATTCCATCACAGTCCCTATAGGTCCTACCTGCCGCTGCTGCAGCTGCTGCAAGCCATGCTGCCGTTCTTCCTCTGAATTATAGAAGGGCATGGAAGTGCGCAGTGGAATCAGGAGCTGACATATCTTCTCGTGGACACTGTGCCAGTCAGCTTTTTGATGCACCACACCACTGACAAGAAAGACACAAACTTTATTATCTTTGTCTTTGGCCCTCCCACTGGCCTAGCCCTTCACACCAGAAAAATAAGGCCACCAAAGATCAGATAGGAGCTCAAGCCATTTCAGAATCAGAAATCTTTTCTTTACATGCGGTTATTTGATGGTGGTGTGCTGGGGTTGGGGAGAGGTATTGGGAGGAGCTCTTTTCTACAGCCAAATGTTCACGTTCGAGTCACACCTGGATGTTGTGGCTATTCTGTTTAGTAACAGCAAAGACAACTTTAACTCTACATTTTACCAACGTTATTTCCAAAATAAATATCAAAGTTGATGAATTTGAGGGTGTTTTTCTTGGGGAAGGGAAAACTAATTTACATTTGATGAAGCTTTACAAACATGTATCCCTGTAACTATGCCACCAAGAATACCACTAACACTGTCTTCTGTTCTCAGAAGCATGTATTCCAGTCACAGAGAATGCACTGGGAATAACCCCCCAGCTCCAGTGGTGCAGCAGCTTGTCTCGCATGTAACTATCTAGCTCTTTTAAAAACAGAATAAAATCTGTTACCATTTAAAAGGTAAGGAGGCATAGATGCGGCAAGGTCAAGGAGTCACCCTAAGCCAATATAATATACCAGTTACTGCTTTTTAATCCTCTAGAAAGGAGCACCTTGACAATTTGGTTTACAGCTCTTCTGGCTATTATACACACACACTTCACTTAGTATTTTTAAATATTCAGTTAGACAGCATAAAGAACATTTACATCATTGCAGAAAATTCTGTTGGGTAATGACTATACAGTTGTGATGGTGAACCTTTTAGAGCTTTCAATGATACAAACAGCCTGCCATTTATGCCATAGGTTTGCCACCACTGTTCTACAGCATCCACTCCCACCCCTTAAATAACTGCCTATATGAATGACTCCCTGGTCTATTGCCCAATTCTGACCTTTCCTCCAATCATCGCTTTTTTTATTACATTTTCATGCATACATAATTCACATGCCATAAAATTTACCACTTTAAAGCATACAATGCATTGTTTTTAGCACGTTCATTAGGTTGTATAACCATCACTCTAATTGTAGGATATCATCCTCCTCAAAAATCAAAACAAAACAAAAAAACCCTCTGTACTTGTTAAGAGTCATTCCAGTTTTTCTCTTTCAACATCGATGCTCAGAAATCTATTTTCTGTCTCTCTCAGTTTGCCTATTCTGGATATTGCACACAAATGGAAACAGACAATATGTAGCTTGTAGTACTTGTTTTCTTTCACCTAGAATAATGCTTTTAAGGTATAAATATTATCTTACTTTTTACGACTGAGCAATATTCCGCTGTGTGCATGTGACACATTTGGATTGTTTCCACTTTTTTGTTATTATGGCAAATGCAGCTATAAACATCTATGTACATTTTTGTATGAACATATGTTTTTAATCTCATGTATATAGCTAAGAATGGAATTGCTGGGTTATCTGATAACTTTAACTTTTTTATGCCAAATTCCTTTTCATAATACTTGGGCCAGTTTTTACTCCCATTGGCAATGTACATGTATGAGAGTCTAAATTCTTCATGTCCTCAACAGCATTTGCTTTTTTCTCTTTTTGACCAGAGTAACCTTAGTCAATGTGAAGGGGTGTCTCTTGTGTTTTTGATTTGCATTTCTGTAATGACTATGTTCAGCATCTCTTCATGTTCTAATTAGCCACTTTCATATCTTTTTAGGAGAAATGTTTATTCGAACCTCTCCCTTTGAAAGCCAAGTCTTTTGACTTCTTATTGTTGAATTTTAGGAGTTTTTTTAATATAACCTAGGTACCAGATCCTTAACAGATGTATGACTTACAAATATTTTCTTTCATTCTATGGGTTGTCATTTTCTTCATAGTATTCCCTGTTCTGTAAAAGTTTTGATGGCATTCAACTAACCTATTTTTCTTTACTTCCTGTGCCTTTTGATGTAATATCTAAGAAAATGTTGCCTAATTCAAGATCACACATTTGCGACTGTGTTCCTTCTGAGTTTTATATTTTTAGCTCTTAGGACTTCTTGTGTATGATTAGTTTTTGTATATGGTTTTCTTGGTTACCTTTCTCATTGCTGAGAAAAAAGCTAAAAGCTCAACACACACAAGTTAAAGGAGTAAGGGTTTATTTCAGCTCACAGTTTCAGTCCATAGTCATGTGGCTCCACAGCAGGGTGGCATGACAGGGGACACTGCAGAGGAGAAACAATCCATGGCAAAGCAGAGAGGAGGCAACAAAGCAGCAAGCGTTAGCAGCAACAAACCTGTCTTCTCTCTCCCCCTTTATATTTCATCCAGGCTATAGGCCTATTTCTTGGTGCCACTCACAGCCAGGGTGGGGGTTCCATTATCCACACCCAGAACTGTGATAAACCCATTTACTTTTCACACACCATGAACCCCAGTATTACACACCCTAATCTAGCATTACCCACCCATGATCCAGCCACACCCCAAAAGCCCCACCTATGAGCACCCGAGGCTTTAGGGGACATCTAGATACAAGTCATAATAATACTGTAAGGTAGGGATCCAAATTTTTGGTTTGCGTGTGCATATCCAGTTGTCTCATCACCATTTGCTGAAGGGACCGTCCTTTCCCCACTGAATGGTCATGGCCATGGCACCCCTGTTGAAAATCAAATCCCCACAGACATGTGAACTTGTTTCGGAACTCTTCTCTTCCACTGACCACATGTCTATCCTATCAATATCACATTGTCTTCATTATTGTAGCTTTGTAGCAAGTTTTCAAATTGAAAAGTAAGCCCTCTTTGTTTTTTCTTAAGACTGTCTTGACTACTGTAGGTCCTTTGTAGTTCCATATGAATTTTAGGGTCAGTATGTTCATTTCTGCAAAATTGGCAGTTAGAATTTTGATGAGGATTTCATTGAATCTAGAAATCAATTTGAGGAATTTCAGTTGAATATTTTATTCATTTAGGTCTTTAATTTCTTTTAACAATGTTTTAGTTTTCAGGGTGTAGGTCATATACTTCTTTGGCTAAATTTATCCCTAAGACTTTTTTATGTTATGAATGGAATAGTTTTCTTAAAAACTCCATTTTCAGATTGTTCATTGGTAGTATATATATATAGAAATACAATTGATTATTCCATGTTGCTTTTGTATCCTACAACCTTGCTGTGTTCCTTCATTAGTTCATAATTTACTTTTGTGGGTTCTTTAGGATTTTCTACAAAGTAAGTCCCTGACTTATGAATGAGTTCTGTTGTGGGAGAACATTTGTAAGTCAGATTTGTTGCTAAGTCCAACAAAGTCTTATACAGCTTTGACACAAATATACAATGTAAAGCATTTTAAAAAAAGCAAATGTATGCACCAAAATACTGGAAAAATTATTTTTACTTTTACAGTAATCATCCAGCAGCACAACTATGACAGTTTCTGGCAGACAACTGAGCTATTTATGCAATCTGTTCACCTCTACGAATGCTCCTAATGCGAGGTACATTAGTATCTGTGAAAGGTTGCAACTCGAATGTTCATAGTTGGGTTTTACTATATATGTGTGTTAGGGTTCTTGGGAGAGACAAAACCACTATTTATTTATTATAAAAATTGGCTCATGTGATACGGAAGATGAGTCCCACAATCTGCTATCTTCAAGCAGAGAAACCAAAAAGCCAGAGTAATTCACTCTTAGTGTGAAGCCCTGTGAACTAGAGGACATGGAGGGAGAATGTCTGCTGGTGTTAAGTCCCAAAGTCCAAGTTTCCTGGGACCATAAACTCTTACATCTGAAGACAGAAGATGGATGCCCTAGCTGACAGGGGTGGGGGAAAGCAAATTAACCTTTTCTTCTGCCTTTTTGTTCTATTTGGGCCCTCAGTGGATTGGATAATACCAAGACACTCAGTCTACTAATTCAAATGTGTGTCTCCCCCAGACAGCCTCGCAAATACATACAGAAATGAGGGCCGGGTTAGCTCAGTGGTTCCACCA